GCACCTGGGGCTTGGCTCCACTTCAGAAATGCAGCAGAGCCAAGCCCCAGATGCCAGGGCAGTGGCTCCTGTTTGAGTCAGCAGCACGAGCCTCTGCCACAGGAAAGGTGAAGTAACAGCATATGGGCAACAGAGCAAGCACGCAGGGATAACACAAGTATTGTTCACAGCCAGCAGGTAGGGAACCCCATGTGCTCACTATGCTGCCCCTGTGCAACACATGCAGCATTACTTTCTCCTTCCCCTGGCAAGGCATGTGATGCAGAAGCTGCTATTACTATATTTCCTCACTTAGCACGGGCACACTAATTTCCAGAAGGTGATTTTTAGAAAACTGTTATATGTGAGAAAATATGGTAAACCATTCAGCCATTGAACAAAAGATGATAAAAACAGGAAGGAACTGTAAAAGGACAGACAAGCATCACTTTTCACCTGATAATTCATGGGGTTGTGACCATGTCTTCCCAATATCTCTTAATGGAAAAAGTTTCACTTGGAAGGAGACTGATGGAGGCAGCCAAGTATGAAAAAGATAATCAATATGCTAACTACTTCCTCTCTTCTATCTCCCTAGATCACCATATGACAGCAGGCAGCAGTTAGCCACTCTGGAACAGGGAGGAATTTTGCCGTCCGTTTTCAGATTTCAATTTGGTCAACCAGTTTGAACTCTCTCTCAGATGAGAAAATTTGTAGGAATGATTCACCATCTGACAGTAAAAGGAAACTACTATCTAATAGAAAAAACTTAGAAGAAGTTGATATGGGAAATCAAACAATGAGTTCTATCCCTGAATAAGTAGAACTTTAAGTGTTTGTAATAGGAATACTGCATTTTCCCCCTGTCATCTTGGATAGAGTCATTATGAGGTAGTGTTTGGGAACACAAACAACTAAACAAAAACTCATATATCTGAAGCTCAGACAGACTAATATCAGATTGTTTTTTACTAGAATATTGCTTGAGAAATGCAATCAACTCAAATCCAGGATCAGGTTGATAGAGGACATCTCCTATTTATAGATTTCTATCAGCATCTACCCAGGACCCAGAGAGGCTGTCTTTGGTTTCCATAATCCATCCTTAAGTTTCCAAAGTTTGACAAGTGTCCATATTAGTGGTACTCAACCTCTGGCCCACAGACCAAATCCACAGAGCCACAGCAATTAATGCTGTCACCACTCCCAACCCACCAAATTTCCTGACCATGCAAAGCCCTGTGGTCTGGATGACACTGCCCCATGTGCCGAACTGCATCAGCATGCAGGGTTGCTTCACAGCCAGATCCAGTGTGAGAGCTGCGTCAGTGTGAAGGGTCACTGTAGCTGGATTAAGTATGGGGGGACAGGGCTGGCAAGCTGGGTCGTTCTACAGCCAGATCCAGTATACAGGCCTGGGCCAGCACAGTATTGCTTTATGGCCAGATCCCACACTGGATCTTGCCCTCAGGCTGGCTCCATGCCATTCATTTGGCACGTAGGGCCGAAAGGTTGAGCATCACTGGTCTAAACTAACAGTCTTTTACAAAGGCAAACAAGAGATCTCTCTGCCTTTGGATAAACAACCATCAACTACATGTCAGAGGATCTTCTAGAATAGGGAACATTTCTCCCTCAAGTGCTCTACTGCATTCTGCTTCTACAAGGCGCCAGCGATTAGCTGCACCAGTTATGCATCTCGTTAGTGGGAAATATAGGAGAAATAGAGTTTATTAGGAGGGAGGCTAAACCTTATTAGTAATCTACTAAAAGAGCAATTGGATTTTTTTTCTATTTTTTGGCTGCACTGAAAAATGGTCTTAGGTGCTGTTTCTTGTCAGGGTCTTTCTGCAAGGTTGAGAGTGTTAAGGCAAACTAGCAGTGGACATGATATACTTTGACTTTAACAAGGCTGTCGGTATGGTCTACCACAACATTCTCACACGCAAGCTAAGGAAGTATAGCTTGGATGAATGGACTATAAGGTGGACAGAAAACTGGCTGGATTGTTGGGCTCAAAGGTTAGCAATCATTCAATGGCTCAATGTAGCCATTGCTGGCAGCAATGTGTCAAGCAATGTATGTAGCTGGCAGCTGGTGTCAAGTGGACTGCCCCAGGGGTCAGTCCTGGGGCCAGTTTTGTTCAATACCTGGAAGATGGCATGGAGTGCTCCCTCTGCAAGTTTGCAAATGACACCAAGCTAGGAGGAGTAGTAGATAGTCTGGAGATTAGAGCTAAGACTCAGAGAGACCTTGACAAATTAGAGATTTGAAGTAAAAATCTCACAAAGTTCAATAAGGACAAGTGCAAAGTCCTGCACTTAAGACAGAACAATCCCATGCACCAGTATAGCCTGGGGACTGACTGGCTAAGCAGCAGCTCTGTCGATGAGGACTTGTGGGTTACAGGGAACAGTAAGCTGAATATAAAGCCAACAATGTGTCCTTGCTGTACAGGAGGTTAATGGCATACTGTGCTGAATTAGTAGGAGCATTGCCAGCAGACTGAAGGATTATTCCCCTCCAAGAAGTGATTATTCCCCTCTATTCAGCACTGGTAAGACCACACCTAGACATCTAGACATCTGGAGTACTGTGTCCAGTTTTGGGCCCCCATTACAGCAAGGATGTGGACAGATTGGAAAGAGTCCAGCAGAGAGCAATAAAAATGGTTAAGAGATCGAGGTACATGACTAATAGGGAGAGACTGAGGGAACTGGTCTTATTTAGTCTGGAGAAGAAAAAAGCTGAGACTGTGGCCACACAAGTGTGGATGTTTGTTTCCCCAGGGACAAGAAGCAGTGGCACACTTTGCACCGCTGCTGCTTGTCCTCAGCGAACGCCTGTGCCATGCACCCTCTGCTGCGTGGCAGGTTACTCCGGATGGGGTAGGAGAGGCTGGGGCCAGCACTGGGCTGGCTCCAGCAGCCTTACCTGGGTTCCTGGGAACCTCCTGGGACTGTAGTAGCAGCGATCCTGTCACTGAGTCTGGCCAGCAGCTGAAGTGTGGCTCTGGCCAGCCAGTCTCTAGTTTTGGGTGTGCTGCCCCCACATGTGCCACTCCACTTTTCTATTTGCCCAGGTTTTTTTGACTCTGAGATCTCCTGGGGTCAACCCCCACAAGCTGTTACACTGCAGTGTGGAGAACACCTGAATGTGCGGTATGTGATGCCACAGAGATGTCTGCAGCACCACACAATGAGCAGCTGCACTCATCTGGATATGGTCTGAGAGGGGATTTAATAGCAGCCTGCAACTACCTGAAGGGTGGTTCCAAAGATGGAGCTAGACTGTTCTCAGTGATGGCAGATGAAAGAATAAACAATAATGGTCCCAAGTTGCAGCAAGGATGTTTAGATTAGAGATTAAGCAGAATTCTCATAGATTTCATAGACATTAGGGCTGGAAAGGACCTCGTAAAATCATTGGGTCCAGGACCAAGCCCACAGGGTAGGAAGTAGCGGTGCACCGATACACCAGTCAGATCAGCACCAATATAAAGAAAATTTGCTGTATCAGACATCGGGCCTGATAATTTGGCCAATAAATGCTCGTACTGCATGCAGCTGCACCACAGCACTCAAGCAGCCAGGAGCAGAGCCAGCAGCATGGAGAGCTGCCCTCCAGCTGGTCAGTCCGGTGTGGTAGAAGGGGAGGGGGGAGGGAAGGGGCATGGAGGGGCAGACCAATACCTCCCCACGGTGAGGGAAGGGTAGGGGCAGGGGCGTGGGGGAGGTGGCTTCTGCCACTGTTTGCACCCCAGGAGGGTGGGGGTGTGCGCCCACCGGATCTGCACAGGGCAGGGCGGGCTGCAGCCTGGGTTGCATGGGGCTCTTCTCGGCGAGGGCTGGACTTGGAGCAGGTGCCAGCAGCACTGGAACGATGCTACATCCACTCCAAATTTTGCCGCTGTTCCGCTCCCAGCGCCGCCACAACCAGCCCAGCTCTTCCTGGCACATGGGTGGAGGCAGGGCATTGAGCCGGAGCAGCGCCGAGTGGGCAACAGCAGCACTGGAAGTGGAGGGGTGGCAAAATTTGGGGTGGATGCAGCATCCTCCCAGCGCCGCTGGTGCCCACTCTGAGACCAGCCTTCCACCACACCAGACATTTGGGAAGAATGATGTGAGCCTTCTCTTTCGGGCACTTTACCAAGGAAATTAAGATCATAGGAAACAAAATAGATATGCAGCATAAGTGACTGTTCCAGTGAGTTCAGCTATGCACATTTTGTATCTGGATTCATACCATAAAAGGCCTCTCTCTTGAAGAGTGACAAATTCAGAAAGATTTTCTGAGGAGATTCTTTAGCTAAAGCAAATCTATATTGCCCTTGCCCTTGGTTGTTGTCCTGGATCACTCTGTTTATGGATTACATCTGGTGCCAATGTTTTATCTAACCTGATTAACATTTGCAGAGCTGAGAAGGTTTATCTCATTATTAGCACTCTCCAGGAAGCTTTTATTTCACAAAGTTAATGGGCACAGGAGGAATTTATGGTCTATGCCCTGGCAGCTAAATGGGATACTAAGTAAGCTTCCAATCTTTAAATTTTAGTGACTCTCAAGCATATCCATTTTAGACCACTTTGAGGTCTTCTATCTCCATAATGAGAACTACAGTACTATGAATGGTATGGACCACTTGCACATTATTTTTCAGAAACTGCACTTTTTTTTAATGTGGTCAAGTACATGGACCTACTTCTAAAAAATGATACCCATACATCCTACCTGAGCCAGCATTTGCTTTAGTGATGTGTCCTTTCATTTTCAGCATTCTATCTGAGCAGGGTGGAAATTATTTATTATGTCACGAAGAGTATGGAATAAGCAAAACAAACACTTTCTGGGCACTGATAAAAAACCTAAGGATTCAGGCAGTTACAGGTTGTGTCTTAAAACTTATTATGCCAAACTTGAGGAGCTTGTTATCACCATTCATCTGAATACCTCTCTCTAACTAGGCTCTCTCTTAGGGCAGCATCAGTGACCACCATCAGCTTCAAAAGGTTTTTGGGTCATTACAAACTTAAAAGGGCAATATGTTAAACACTGAAAAACACTGAAAATGTTAAAGTCTTTATGGTAAATCTGAATTTTGGTGGTGACAAGTAATAACAGGTATGTGTGGAAACATATCTTAAAGATATCTAGAGATAAGATAATTTCTGAGAAATAAGCAAAGGAAGTTTGACAATGCTGTTTTTATGTCATGTGACTAAACTGGCTTGGTTATTGGGGGGGGGGGGGGAGGGGAGATCTTCTCTACTTATTTGGAACAACGGACAGTAAACAGGATATTTATCCCAAAGCAGTTTTTCTCTAAGCACAGGAAACACTGTCTTTATAGAAAAGATTTAAATTCTTCATGACTCTTAGGAAGCAAAAAACTCTGGGCATTCGCATATGGTTCCATCTCTTAAAGTATCTTGCATATTTTATCATGAGGACAGATTTAAGATAATAAATATTTATCTCCCCCTATGAGAGCAACAAATATCTTTCCAGGAGAAAGGGTAGCAAGTGAGTGTCCTGCCACAGAACAGGATCATGGCAAAGAGTTGTGGGCTGCTAATAATTTTGTGGAGAGACACAAAATTTAAGGTATAGTATAACAGCAAGACTCTGCAGGAGGGAACCAAAACACTTTACAATACTGACTAGTCAAAAGCTGCTTGCTAATGTGGAGAGGTAGGAAAACAAAACAGGTCAATTACAGTGGCTCCTGAAAAGGGAAAAATAAATATAATATAATCATATAGTTATATGATCAGTACTACATGGTCAATTTATATAGATAATTAATATTAAGAGCCTTTAAGCAAAGAGAAAGGGGGGCAAATGTTAGGAGAATATTGGCCAAAAAAGCAGTCTAAAATGTTGAACACACAAAAAGCTAGGTTTTGAGCTAAAACGTACTGGATGAAAGAAAGCATGGAAGCCTTATATCAGGGGTGTTGAACATAAAGCTCATAGGCTAAATCCGGCCCATGGAGCCCTGTGAACTGGCCTATGGGTTGCTGTACTGACCCCACACACTGGCCCTGGCTCCATGTGCTGCATGTGACCTGCAGGCTAGACCCAGTGCCATGTGCCCTATGTATAGCACACGGAAGGAAAGGGTCCTGGGCACGTGCTGCATGTTGCACTCCATCGCCTGGCTCTGCACACTGGCTCCAGGGCCAGTTGGGATCAGGTCATGCTGGAGCCAAATCACAGGGCCAGTCCAGTGAGGTGCTGTACACACCCCATGCTGGCCCATCCAGCCCTGTGCTACATGCAGTGCACAAGGTCCCGGGGTTTGCTGTTCATACAGGGGCCAGCATGTGGCGCGTGCTGGATCCAGCGCTACATGCGACACAATGGGTTCATGGCACAGGCTGCATGCAGCACCCCAGACTGATCTCCTGTGCTGACTGCAGTGTCGGGTTCAGCCTGTGCACCATGAGCAGCGCATGCCCTCTGCTGGCCCTGAATGCACTGTGGGGTCAGTCCCAGTCTAACCCCGTAGACGAGGGCTGCATGAGTCTGACATCCCTGCTTTACATCAGAGAAGGTACTTCTCATCTATGGAATACCCTTTGCTTTTTACATATATTCTATTAACATATTGGCTGAAAACACTAACTGCATAAGAAATTTCTCAATGAGATAATGAAACTAACATTTACTGTGCAAAACAAATACCAACAGATCATTTAATATTTGAAAAGGATACTTCTGTTGTGTTTTTCACATTCAGTGAGACTTACCACTTCTTTTCTCTTGTCTGATGATATTATGACATTCTGCATGTAGAAACTGCAAGTGATCTGCCACCATTCGCTGTTGGCATTCATGTATCACTTTGCCATATGAGCTGGGATGTAAGTATTTCCGACATCGCATTTCTTCATCTTTTAATCTGCCTAAAACCTATGGGCAAGTTTTCAAATTACAGAACAGATGAAATACTGCAGGGCAGTTTAGGACAAAAAAGGAGAACATATCACTCCTGTCTGCCAAAGTTTTAACTTGGGCATTCTCTTCGACTTGGACTTCTCTAGGTGCTCACATCCAAGCTATACCAAAATTACTATTTGACTAGGAGACTAAGTCATGCATCAATCAAGATGCTGCACTGCTTCATAAAATTTATGATTTAAAAATCTAATGACTTCTTCAAAACTAAGCACCTTTTCTACCCACTCACACAGCTAAAACTCCCATCCAAGCTCCAGTCATCTCATGGTTTCATTACTTTAACAGGTGGAATAAAAGAAAATAAACAGGGGAAATAAGCAGGGGATTACCACAAAACCTTGTCAGGCCTTGGTTATCTTAATAGGGAGAAGTCATTATGAACCAGCAGCCTTACAGTTATCAAGTTGATGGAAGGGTGGTGATGAGATAGCTTTGCAGATATTTACAGGAGCTCCTCCCAACTGTACAAATTCTATAGGGGGAAAAAAGTACTTGCTTGAAAATTTAACAAGCAGGCAATAAAGCTGGCATCAGAAATGGGCTAAGATATCTTGACAGTAAGTGGGTGATGATCAATAGGGTGAGAATAGGTCACAGGAAGACCATTACCAATCTGCATGAAAAGAGAAGACAAATAGCTTATGCTTGATGTAGTGGGGATGCAGATAGGGGCGTGATGTAATTGAGGCCACGAGTAAGGACATTTGCAGCAGGATTTTGAAGGGATCTGAGCAGGTAAAGTTTGAATTTATCAAAGCCTATATCCAACCTTACCTATCATCTCTCACTGGAGTTGATGTCTTGATAGTCAATGTCAGTGTACAAGCATGGAAAAAAAAAGAGCATAAAGATTTTTTTTTTTGGAAGACACTAGCCTCCATTGCCCACCTGCTATGTTTTCAAACACCTTCATGCTTTTTCCCCCCCTTAATCTTGGGAGCAGCTCTCCTGTAAACATCTGCAAAGCTATTTTCAACATCCATAATTTTACCACAAAAAAGAAAGATAGCAAAAAAAATATGTATTCTCTTTCTGAAATAATCATCATTTTCAAGACGGTCTATTGCATAAAGAAAAAAAGTAATAAACTTGTTCTGTACTCTGCCTTTACATAAATTTAATTTTCCCCTATGGTGTATATTTAAAGGTGGACCTCTTACCTTTTCCATGTACTGTGAACAGTTGGACTCCTGCAATAAATTTGAAGCCTCTTGTTTATAATACTCCCCTGTTTCATTCAGAAAAGGACACTCAAAAATTTCCTGATAAAACTAAAAGGATAAAGGACATTTTGTTTTATCAAGGACAAATAAAACAAGGTATTAAACTATTAATATTGTTCAATATTAATGTTTACAGTTAGAAATGCAAAGCAGCAACAAATCTTTACCTTTAGGGGGAATTTTTTCTTATACTGTTCAACATGAACAAAGGAGTTAATAACCCCATGGATTACTTTCTGGTTTGGGTCTTCTCCACAGCGATCACTGAAGTAGGCAAAACCAAACATGAATCCATAAGAATTCAGACAACAAGTAAGGGTTTCCATTAGGCTATCAAGTTTTCCTTAACAATGAATAGATTTTTTTTGAGTTACTCTTTAAAAAAAAAAAAAAAATCAGTAATAAGCATTTATTTATTTTAAGAGGCACACTAATATGTACCAATTTCATTTCTCTTCTCACTTGTCAAATTTGAATTGTAGAAACAGTAATGCATACATATTTGCGAACCTTATACTTGCATATTTGCAAACCATATTTGATCATGAAATAATACCAAAACATATAAAAGGGTATATAAAAAAAACGAGTCATGGTAATGAACATCAACAAATTAAGAACAAATTTAAAGGTTTGTGATAAATTCTACCTTATGCATGTTGCAACCTTTAATAACCTACACATAACACTGTCTTGCCCATGAGTCAAACAAGAGTCACTTCTAACAAGCATGGATTCAGACGGGATACTGTTCTACGTTCCCACCTATATGAAAGGTAATCATGGATGAAAGTTCTCCAATTAAAGGAGGTCAGGTTAACAAAAATGAAGCATTTTTGTGACTTTTAGGTGAAATGGTAGCAAGCATAGATTTTCCTATGGCCCTCTGTGGTAAACCAGATAATCCATCTGGTACAGTTGAGAAAAATGAATCAAAATAGGAAGAGGCTGGCAAATAAGAAGTCCAGAACAAATAAGTGTACTTCTCGGAGTACTGCCCAAAATTATATGAAAAGGAAAAGCAGGCCTGTGTGAAGCAAGAACAATCTTGAGGAGCCTGAGGACCACTCCTGATGGAGCTGAGCAGACCGAAACATCAGGTGTTTCTTGTTAATATTTTATACACGTTATATCTCTTTGATTTTGCCTTCTAGTTTATGTAAGGATGTAAGCAGAGAAATTGGTAACCACTGGGATTCACTATGTACCAGTTGCTCTGCAGTAACTGCCTGTCCTAAACTTCCCCCATGGTGAAAATTATGTCACAGGAACTCATCCCTCTTTCATTCAAAGGATTTCATTAAGAAACCTTTATTTAAATAACTGATTTTAATCTAGTGTTGCATTTACTTTGAAACTTTAGGAAAAGAACTATTCTCACTGACTGGTATCACAAAAAAACACGTTAACTTGAGAAAAAGTACATCCTTTCTACCTTGATTTCAATACTATTTTTTGCTAACCAAGAAGATATACTGTGTCAATACATTTAAACAATTAGAGTTTTATATTTATTCTGATTGATTTTTATATTTGTATCTTGTTAAGAAGTAATGGATAACATATATCTTTCTTACTAGATTTCTTTGTCTTCAGTGCGAGTCAAGACACATTTAGATGGAGCTGGAATTCAAGTAAAACGTAGCAAAAGAGCATTTAATTTAAAAAAAAATTAAATATTAGACTTTCAAAACCATCTAAAATGAATTAAGCACTTAACTTGCTTTTAAGGACTTTTGAAAATTTCACTAAGCCCTTAAGAACCTGACTGCAAGACTCAGGTTTTTAAAATGAGTAGATGCTACTCTCTTTCTTATTTTTATTCATAGACTGGAAGACAAAATAAGCTTTACTGCTTTTTCAACTCAATCGATTTTTGAACTGGAAATGAAAATATTTTTGAAGGTGTTAGTTAAAAGTAAATAAGGCTTGAAAATATAGTATTTTTCAATTGCAAATACTGAAAATAATATATGTTCTTAATATGTAATTCTGGTATTTCTAAAGCTTGAACCGAAGCTCAAAAGTTAGAGTTCCAATGGTTTGTATACATTTGAAAATGTGACATTCTTTAATTAAAAACAGAAGAGAGCTCACTGATATAACATATTTAAATTGCTACAATTTCAAAATTGATTTTTAATAGTATTTAATATATATTTTAAAATCTTTTGTTTTTCATCTATCCTGTGCTGAAATAATACAGCATACTCTTTGTGAGAAAACTTTTTGTAGGTATAATCATGTCACAGTTAGGGGTCTGAGTTTTATGACATTTTCAGCTAAAAAAAAGCCTTCTCTCATTTTTTCTCTCTCTCTCACATGCATACATCCCCCATTCCCATATCAACAAAAAAGTACTTTTGCTGGTCTTATGACAATCAGCTAGACAAGCAAAAGCACATATTTGTTGGTAGAAGCTGTATCTACATTAGGAAAGTTTGTTAGTACAGTTCTACCAGCAAACCTTTCCTCGTGTATAGTAGGCCATATGTATGAATTAACTTTTTCAGTATTTGCGAAAAATCCTGGCTCTTGCAATCTAAGGAACAATGTTCTACCAGGTAAAGAAACACTGTTCCAAGAACCACTGGAGTTTTGAAATTTTAAACAAAAATTATGTTACTGAAATAAGTAGCTTCTATATATACAGTTAACAAAATATTTTTTTTTAACAATAACAGTGGCCATTTAAGTTCTTTATAACAAAAATGACAGAACGTCAAATAATTAAACTAAATATAAGAATTCTATATCATAACCTTTTTCAGAAACAAAAGTTCCTCGGTGTAAAGGAAGGGCGCAAACGACCCTTTTATTTATTTATTTTTTAAAGAATCATTTTGTTATAAATTATATTGTCAAGAAATTTCTTGATAGAACTACGTAATAAATATCAGCATTTATCTGATTGTCTGTCAAATAAACATCTAACAGATGACACAAAACTTTTGTATTTTTAAATATGCCAAAGCTGTCAGTATTTTTTTAATATAATGAGAAAATTACATAACACTTAAACCACGTTCCCATGTAACTCCCATCAACCAACACTGTTTTGCCCCCCAAAACCATGGAATGATAAGAGGTTTTTGAACATTGTACAATTGTCATTGCTAGGTACAGCTAGAACACATTTGAAATTCCGGACAACAAAAGATCTTGGCTCTCTTTTCAAGAAAAGCCAATATGTACATTACAGATCTTCAACACAAAAGTTTAACACATACAACAGACTTCGAGCAGGGGTGTAAAATATCTGGCCCACAGAGCTAGGGCATTTTGCCTGTGGGTTTCTTGCTGCAGCTGCCAGCAACAAAGAGACTTCTGTGTCAGCACTAGCAATGAAGGAGTTAATGCCACTGGTGCTTAGCCAACACAGTAGCTGGCACATCAGCTGACACACAAGCTTTGGCAGCTAAGGGTGGAGTCCCACAGTCCAGACCCAGTTAACCAAGAGTCCCCCTAGTCCAAATCTGGCCTAGACAATCACATGAATTTAACACTACTGATTCAGACTAAAGAGAAAAAAAAACACAGTAACACCTTCAGGGCTCGTAGTAGAGATGATATCTTTTATTAGACCAACAAGATTTTTGCAAAAAAAAATTATTTAATTTATTCAATTAAAGATCTTTTTTTGCAAAAATCTTGCTGGTCTAATAAAAAATATCATCTCTACTATGAGTCCTGATTGCCTTTTCCTCTAGACCACTATGGCTACAACCTGGATACCTGACAGTAACACCTTTTCACTCTGAATTTCAGACAGAAAGTTCTATTAGTAATGTGGTTAAGAAACGCTATTAAAACAAAAAAATGGGTCTTGGAGATTGTACATACATTACCTGAATCTATAGTGAATATTCAGAGTAATGTCCAGTTGATTACAAGTAATTTTACACACTCAATTCAACATTTAAAATTGTAAAGCAAATATAAACACTGAAAATCTGCACAGCTTCCGTAACAGCAATAAAACTACAAACAAACCAATCAAAGAGTCATTACAATTATCATATTTACCCAAATCCAAGATAACCCTCCATTAATTAGATCCTATACATGGAAAATATATAAACTGCTTAATTTTTTTTATGTATAGAATCTAATTATTGAAGAGTTGTCTCAAATGTGTCTTCTCCCAACCACTGCAATGGAAAAAGTGGTTGCAGTGGGCTGGCAGTGAGGGGGCAAGTGGTCAAAGAGGCGTAGGGGGGCTGGCAGCAGTTAAGCAGCTTGACCCCTGCCCCTTGCCCTCGCTTCCCCCCCCCCACCCCCAATTATCCTTGCTCCTGCTCAGGTAGGCTCTGGCCCTGCTCCAGCCCAGGGCTGGAGAAAGGATATGTGGTGGGGTAGGGGAGGAGAAGTGTCTGGAGGCCCCCGGGAGGGTCTTAAACCTGGGTCAGGACTGGAAGTGTAGCAGCTGTCTGTCCCCACACTGATTTATATTCTAATTCAAGAAAAGAGGATTTTCTCTCCCATGTTAAATGGGGAAAAACAACTTTGCCTTTGATTTGAATTAATACAATACTACTATGAAAGTGTAAAACTAGAAAAAACTAAGTTTAAAAACACTTTTGGATTTGTTTTCAATTTTTTTTTATGTGGAAGTTACTGAGGATATGGAAGACAAAAAAAAGTCTTCACGTTTATGTTTGAATGTTACTGAACTTAGTACTGTATTTACCTGCATACCACATGCACCTTTTCTCCAAAAATTAGCCCTCCAAAACTGGGGCGTCTTAAGCAGGGAAGCTGATTACTGCAGCAGAGCAGAAGCATGGAGACATTTTGAAATGGCTGCTAAGGGCTGTTCTCTCCTCCCCTCCCACCAGCATGCAGCAGGAGCACAGTCTACTCTTCAGCATCAGAGCTAGAGTTTTAACCCTTTTGCAGTCCAATCAGTAGTGGTTGTGAGAGAGTTAAAATTCTAGTTTTGGCTGAGCAGCCATAGGTGGGGATGTGACACTGAGAAGCAGACTGTGACCCTGTTCTATGTGGTCAGTTTGCTGTCACACTCTTGAAAACATCCTTTTTACTTCATTCTGCCTTTCCCAAACAAGGCTTGTGTCTCATATGATATGTGTGGTATGTGAGAAAATACAGTACATTTACTTTTTAGTAGGGGTGCACCGATAAAGAATTTTTGGCTAATACTGATAGCCAATTATCGACCAGCCATAACAGCTGATACTGATCCGATAGGTGATTTGCAGCGCAGCAGCTTCAAGAGCAGTGTCCAGCCACAAAGTCTGTGGGGG